CACTCTTTCAAATGGTCCCGTCCTAGATAAGTGCATTACTATCTCATGATTTTCAATACACTTGTCACAGTTTAAGCAAGAACTTCTGAAATTACCTTTCAAACAAATTCTAACTCTGATATCCCACGGCTTAAATTAATATAACAGCTTAACTTTACATTAGAACCTTAGTATCATGTTTAGTTCATGTTTCTTCCTATTAAATTCGTCAAGTCTTACCGTAATTAATATAAAATAAAAGCAAAAGAGAATCACAACTAATTTAGAATGGAAGTAACATTCAATGATACCCAAAATATACATATATACAAAAATGTCTATAAAATGTTTATGGTATATATTCATGGTGTTCAAAATTAACTTACCCAGCTTATTGACTACTTCCAAGTTTCTGTAGATCATTGTATATATTTTCCTTGTAAAAAGAAAAGAAAAGCCAAGAATTTTACACTTTAAAATAAAAATGGATTTAACTAGATTCCTATATTTAATATGAACTACTGCACATACTCAAAACAATATTTTAAATCACTGCATTCAAAATCACTGACAAGCTTGCAGACCCTAAAAAGCACCACAATAATAAAAACAATGATTATATATGCCTACTTTAAACAATCACTAATATATTTGGCTGAAAAGACTTCATATCCCCATTTCTTAAAATGTACTCTGCTTGAACTTTAATAAAACACCCTTATTCCTGAGTATGCAAGCAGAATGCAGGTTAACACACTTTTCTTTTAAATTTTTTTTTAGAATTATTTAACTTTATTTATTCATTTATTTATTTTAATTTGACCAGAGAGGGACAGAGCCAGCGAAAGAAAGAGAGGGAGAATGAGAAGGTGAAAAGGCAAGCCGCCAGGTAGGGGACTCAAACTACGGTAGGCCATGTGGGAGTCCAGCGCCCTTAACCACACCACCTGCTAACATACTTATTTTCAAACAGAAAAGAAATCTAGTTTTGTGCTTAAAGCAAACTGCCTTTTTTGTAGCTTTTTTTTCTTAAGAGAGGTTTTTGCTATAGAGCATGTGCACTCTCCGGAGAGAGAGACAAATGAAAAATTACTTCAGTTTCTAGTCCCTCATTAGAATTCATATCAAAGATAATTTTATTGGGACCAGCAGTTGGCGTAATGGCTATGTCACTGGACTCTCATGTAGTCGACCGTGGTTCAAGTCCTGGATCTGGTGGCTTAAACTCACTGGGCGTTGTGCGTGTGTGCCCAAGATCCCGAGGAGAATGGAGAAGGGATTGCAGCATGGCCATCCCCCCTAGAGGGTGATTTCTCACTTTCTGTCTGTCTCTTTCTGGTGAGCACACGTGCCCCATAGCAACAATCGCTCCAAATACATATATATATATATAATTTTATTATTCTTTCAGTATCAGAAATACCTCCAAATACTATCAGAAGATTCCATATTCAAAAAGTACAAAATCACCAACATGGCTACTTCTTAAATTGATTAAGTAAAATCTTACATCCCAAGGCCAAGCATAAAATGGTAACACGAATGGATATTAAACAGAAGTCATTTATCAATGCAAAGGTGTTTATATAATATTAAATTAGGATGAAAGGTGAAATTAAACATAGAATACAGGCCATTAGATGGCGTGGTAGTTAAGGCACTGGACTCCCACATGGCTGACCATGGTTTGAGTCCTCAACCTAGAGGCTTGCTTTCTCACTTTCTCTCGCTCTCTAGTCAAAAGAAGTGAGTAATAATAATAAATTTTTTTAAAGAAACTAAATACAGTATATTCACAACTAGTTGAAAACATGCATGTGCACATAATATTAAAATGACTGGTAAAAAGAAAACCTTTTGGTGAAAAATCTGTCATTTTTTCCCTACTCTTAGCTTTCTGTCTTTTCTAATATTCAGTAATAAATACACGTTTATGATAATAAAGTTATTTTAAAGTTATAGATATCCTAATACCTAATTACCATCTTTTAGGCTGAGCACAGAATACTAATGTAATCTAATTGTTTCAGGTGAAAATTATCTACTAATTTATTAAGATACAAATGCAAAACCTCAACAGACTATGCCAAACCATATGGAACAAGGAATTCCAAAAGTAAAGAAAGAATGACTGAAAAAAATCTTTAATTCTTACTAATAACTCAAGAAATTTTATCTGAGTTAAATTCAGCTGATTAAGTTCCATAATGGTATATAACGAGGAAAATTATTTCCAAAGAAACTAAGGCTTAACTTTAAGCCTTCTCATAACAATGAAGATTGCCTTTAAAGGTGTCTGGATTAAGGATTTACAATTCATAACAACCAAAACTAATATCTAAATGCTTCCTATGTGCCAAATACTATGTTTTCTGTATATTCTCTATGAGATATTTAAAACCTCTTCTATAAGTGGGGAAACCAAAATATAAGGAAGTCTTAGAAACAGGTATAAGAAAGTTAAGTCAGTTTACCTAGCCTGACAGCAAGAGTATGAATGAGCTCAGTTTCAAACAGGTTTACACAATTCCGGAGTTCAGATTCTGAAGCAACATACTATAGAGCTAAGAAATTAATTTTCAGTATCTTACATACATACATATACACACAAACATATACAGATACTGTTTTTTTTTTAAGACTTGTTGCCACAGGGCACAGTGCTTGCCAAAGAGATCACAGAGAGAGTGAAAGTGAGAAATCATCCTCCAAGAAAGATGACCGTACTACAATCCCTTCTCCTCCATTCTGGGTACACATGCACATGCATCCAGCATGATTTTCAAGCCACCAAGTTCAGGACACAAACCATGGTCAGCCATGCGGAAGTCCAGCACCTTAACCACCATGCCAAATGCTGGCTCCATCTTTTCTTATGTATTCTCTGACGAAAGGGAGTGATGGTAGAGATTAACTAAAATGTTGGCCCAGGTGGGTAGGTTTGTTTTTCTTTGCTTTTGGAGAGGTTTTTGCTATAGGGCACATGTGCTCACCAGAAAGACAAAGACAGACAGAGAGAGAGAGAGCAAGAAATCACCCCCCAGCAGGGATGGCCACGCCACAATCCCTTCTCTTCCAATCTCCTCTGGGGATCTTGGGCATGTATGTACATGTTCCCGGTGTGAGTTTAAGCCACCGGGTCTGGGACTCGAACTGCGGTCGGCTACATGGGAGTCCAGTGATTTAGCCGTTACGCCAACTGCTGGTCCCTTTTTCTTTAAAAAAAAAAAAGACAGATTTTTGCTATAGGGTGCATGTACTCACCAGAGAGAAAGACAGACAGACAGAAAGTAAGAAATCATCCCTCAAGGGGGACAGGCACGTCACAATCCATTCTCCTCCATTCTGCTCTCGGGCTCTTGGGTACACATGCAAATTTGCTAGTGTGAGTTGATTTTTTTGTTTTTTGAAGACTCATTTTATTTTTTAACCTTTATTTAGTTATTTTAATTTGACCAGAGAGGGACAAAGAGAGAAAGAAAATGAGAAAGCAAGCCACCAGGTCAGGGACTCAAACAGCAGTCGGCCATGTGGGAGGAACAGCACCCTTAACCACCATGCCACCTGCCAGCCCCACCCAGTGTGAGTTTTTAAGCTGCCAAGTCTGGGACTTGAACCAAAGTTGATTACGCAGTTATGTGGGAGTCCAGTGACATAACCATTATGCCATCTGCTGGTCCCATACCCAGGTGGATTTTTAACTAGACTAAACTGAAGAATTTACCTGTGTTCTTTCACAGAGAAACTTGGTACTCCGAACAAATCTCCTAGAAGATCATTTGAACAATATACAATATGTTGTTGCTTCTCATCATACAATCGTTTAGTCATAATATACTGGCCAAGATAAAATATAACCTGAAATACAAATGATTTCTAATGATTTCTGAGCATTAATACAAACTAAATGTTAGTTACAGTCAATGATACCCCATTTATCTGAACAGAATTGCAACCAACAACCACAACCATGTAGAATAACTACATTCTGTACAATATTAAAGAACTACTTTAAAATCTTTTCCTTTTAATTTGGTGAAAGTAGAAGTAACTACTTGAATATTTTAAAAAAAAAAATCTAGAAAACTTTAACTCTATCCAGATATTTAGGTAGTAAGTAGGAAAAAGGTAAAAAATGCAAAGCCACTGATTCTAATTAAAAGTTGCAAAATCAAGAAAAAGTCAACTAAAATATAGCAATGACCTGGAATCACTGAATGGTTACAAATACCATATACCTCCACAGCCTCTGAAGTCATCACAAAACAGGAAGACAGGAAAATGATCGTCACACAGTTTGGGAGAATACAGTGAATGGGGTGAATGCTAGAAGGTATCGATATAATCTGTACTATAATAACAACCAAAACAAGAACCATGAACCATTAATAGAAAGTTAAATCATATTCCATGTGCTCCAGTAAGACAAACAAGTAGGTAATACATTTAAAGATATCCAGGTACAAACCTATTAACAACCTAAAATATATATAAGATAGCATTTTATAGTTTACAGTATACTTTCTAAGTACTCTCTCATCCTTGTGATATTCTGTACAACTCTTATTGCTGCATTAGAGGTAAGAAAACCTACCCCCAGGTCTTCTGATTCTTAATTCAGTGCTCTCTCTACTATCTGATACTAGATTTCATCACTTTCCCATATGCTCTAAAAAAGTCTACTATCAATGAAAACTGCTTCAGATAATATATGCATTACTGTTACATATTTTAGCATAAATATTTAAGTCTTTATGAAGGTCTTGATCAATTTTCTCAATTCCATCTACTGTTAAATCTATATTTTTATTTCCTTAACTTAAATAATGAAAATAAATCACAAGTTAACAGCTCTAAAAATACCATTTAATTTAGGAAATATTCCTATATTAAAGAGGTGGTGACAGGAAAAGGAGAAAACCTACATTCCTTTTTACCAAACATCCCTTTAAAAAGTGTAGCTACAAAGGGAAGATGTGCAGAATCTCTTCCTACTCACTATCCTGACGTAAGAATTTCAGTGTTTTAAGTAATCGGAGCCCCCTTTTGTGGGAGAGACTGGAAACAGGCACATTTCGTTTATACTGAAATTCTGCCTAAGGTGGCCCAGTCTCTCACTGAAAATCAAGTTGCTGTCATATATTTAAAGTTACAGAACGAAATGCTGAAATGTTCCCATTAAACAGGACATATGTTGATGAATCTGCTCACCTCTGTCCCAGAAAGACCAACATACTGAACTCATTTATCTCTAGTGCAGAATTCTGAACCTGGGATCCACGCACGCCCAGAAGTCCTTGGACAGAATTCAGGGAGTCCATTCATTTGTGTGGGAAAAAATACATTTCTATCTTTACTTTCACTAACTTCTAAGATTTAGTTTTTGCTTCAATTATGAATTTAAGCAACAAATCACACTAGCATTACCAATACTAGTGATTTTTGTCATGAAAAATCGCAAGTGTTTCATATTGTGCTAGGCTTACGGTAAATATATCAGAGTATCACTTATGTTCCTACTAAATTAAAATTAATCAGACTTGCTACTGAATCTTAGTATTTAATATGTTAAATAAGAAAGCACATATATCACAAACTTTGTTTTGATAACTCCATTTCAATATAATGTTTGCTTTGTAATCCTATATATTTTATCCCATACATTTAAATACATTCTGAAAAGAAGTTTCCAGTCTGAGAAGACTTTCACCAGAGGACAGATGGGTTCAAAATACACAAAAAGACCAAGAACTCCTACAAGGTTTCCCTCTGTCTGAGTTACTAGATGCTAAATGAAAACTCAAGTATAATTAGAATTTTCAGTTTCAAAATGTAGTCCATACTACAAAGCTTAATGTTGCTACTTACTGAAAAATCTCTCTATGTGACCAATTTCTCCCATGGTCTTGAAAATTGAGTATGGCTATAGAAAATTAGTAAAACATTAGTTATCTCCATCTCTTAGTTCAGCTTACCTCTTTCATTGTGTAAGTGTCTTTTTGTGCGCCAACAGACTTTAACAACTTCAAAAGCAATGGCTTTGGTCTAACCTATATAGAAAAAGGAGCTGCTATTATACTTCATAAATTATTCCAGAACTATAAGCCCCACAACAAACATATCCGTAAAGAAGTTCAAAAAGGACATTAATAATTTTACAAAGTTAGATTTCAAAAATTAAGTCATAACAATTTTTTTTACTAAATGTAATAGTAAGCATGTAAATTAAATATCATAGATGATAAAGGGGATGGTAAAGCAAAAACTGTGGGGCCAGGGGGGGGGGAGAGACTGCACTTCCCATCCCTCAACTACAACTTAGCATTTTCTTCCTAATATATCATGCTGCCTCTTATTCAACATTTCAAGTAATACTTGGCAAACATTTATTGAGCTTCCATGCACTGGACAATGCTAGGTCCTACAAGAAGAAAATTACAAATAAGATATATGGCCTATATTCAAGGAGCCTGACAGCTAGATCACAGGTCAATTTTTTTCTGTAGGGGCCAGAAGTATGTATTTTAAGTTTTTCATGTTAGATGGCACAAGTAAAAAGTTTAGATACTATGTAAAGCAACAGATATGGCGGAATTACAGAAAAATTTTCTTTACAAAAGCAACAGGCCAAAATTGTGCTTGACTCTGATCTAGAAGTTTTGCAAATGGTATGCTGAAAATAATTAACAATGGGGGAGGCATGTACTATGCTTAGATATTCTATCTCCCTTCCTGCTGTTGCGTAAAAGTCTGAAAAACTCGGTATCTTTAGTTTGTCACTCTTAGACTGGTGCCTCTCTCTGTCCCCATCTTGGATCTAACTCTGAAACATGACAGCACCCCCATTTGGGATTGAAGTCTCAAAACTAGATTTAAGGGACCAGCAGTTAGCGTAATGGCTATTTCGGTGGACTCCCATGTAGTCAACCGCAGTTTACGTCCTGGCTTAAAACTCACCGCGGGCGCGTGTGTATGGCTG